ATCCCCCTACGATTGCATGCTAGTACTAATAATTGGCCTAATCTTGTGTGTGTGGTGTGTTTGTTTGTCCTCGCTTTTCGTCCCGCGGCATGATTTGTTCACTCAATCGCGCTAGACTGAAGATATATCAAGATCACCCGTCTAGGGAGATGGTTTCTGGCTGAGAAAAAATTATAAAAAGTAAGTAATTAAAGTATTAAGCAAAAATTCGAAAAAAATGCTAATTGCGTCAATAGATGGCAAAGTGGGCGTAGCACGCAGATCACACAGTCACGATACGTGGGAATTTCTTACATACGTCTCTTACTGCCGCCGAGTATGGCATATTCAGCATCACTAACGTCTGGTGAGATCGGTTCTGGTCAAACAAAAATGCCTATTCCCTTCAATTAGATGGTGCCTACGTCTCAGATCTCCCCCCCGCCCGCTAATGCAGCTATCCCCCGCTGCTGCACTGGCTCTGCTGTTGTACGTACACCGCGACTGACACAGGTAGTCAGTGCGACAGTAGCTGTGCCAGTGTTCTGTTGTACCCAGTGCAGGTGTGTTTTCTTTCAGTTACATTGAAATATTTTAAGCTTAGATCTGTGCACTTCACATTGAGTTTATATATTTAAAGCACAACTTTGCTGGTTTCTACGGGTTATACTTTCTGCTTAGTAATTGTATAACAACACACACCACGTCATCACACACAAATACACACCACAAGCAGCACAACGCTCGACACACAAATACACACACCAGCACACCGCTCACGACATAAATCACACACACACACACATACCGTACGCACGCCAGCAACGCACGCACATACATATACTTACTAATATATATATATACATACAGTAAATATATAGATAGTATGGGTATACTTACTACTGTATGGGTAATAATATAGTAAGCATGGTATGGGCGTTAGCACGAGCAATGTCGGTGGGGGAGGATCTTGAATACTCGGCAGGCTATTGCGTGTGCCCGCGTAACGCACTGTACATTTAGTCATAGACCTACTGTAATGCATTATCAGTCTGGGATCAGTCTGTCTCGTTTTGTATTTGCATAGATGATATATACACGTCATCACGTGTTGATATAATCTAATGGTATTTGTAAGTTAACGCAGCGACATCTATGGGCGGAAGTGCAACTGACTACGGTCATGCTCTTTCCAGAGAGATTTTGCCATCGATTTTCTAAATATGGTCTTTTTTAAACATTAAAGTCCAAAGAAATACACAAAAAGCACAGTGTTAGAATCGAACGTGATGCGTAGGAATGAAGCACGAACAAATTCAAGGCAGTTAAGTTACTGCAGGAAACAAACAGAACGACACTACTCAAATTATTATATAGTATGGACAAATTTGGAACAGTGGTCTTTGTTTTGGTTTGACACTGTCCCACAGATGTTATCGCGTAGATGAGATTCTACTCTCCGTATTGTTGTTCCATTATGTTGAGAGGATATTTCATTGGCAGGACATTACTCGGCTAGCACAAGCCTACACTATTAGAACACAAACACTACTTCTATTAATATAAGAACATGTCTTGATCATGTTTGTTTAAAACTTTTTAATGTTTTAATAAAGCATTTAAACCATTTCTTTTAAATTGATTAAATACTGTATAGGAACAGACATTGATATACATAACAGCAACCTTCACAGAGTTAATAGGCCTACAATGATCATAAAACATGATAATATTTGAATGCTATGTATAATATGTTAATATATTAGCAAAAGTAAGATTAAAATAATCTATGCTATTATTAACCGATTATCCGATTATAATCGATTATCGATCGGTTAAGGGAAACCGATAATCGATTATGAAATTCCAGCCGATTCCCATCACTAGTGTGTTGTCATAACTAAATACAGCATTATATATAAGCTATCCATATCGTCCCACCTCTAGTATTTATTGACCTAACATTAATAAATCACAGTTACTGATATCATTTGTGTACCTTTCTGATTCACTTCATCACGTTCAGCAAACTAAAACAAGCAAACAGTCGTACACACGCCCTGAACTAATAAAGGCATAGTGGAATTTCATCTAAAGTTGGATTTGTTGTCAATTTATAACAACCTGCCTAGATAAGTCACCTGTTTTAGAGACTGTATATCTATCTAACAACACCTACAATACGTGGCCTTGTCACTCGCCAGCTACCCTAAACACCACAACGCCATTGAACTATGTGCAACGTTGCACTCAAGACAGTTTTCTCGTTCACTCAGCATCTCTTCCATTAGATGTCAGGGATAGTAGCTTGAGTGCCTGAAAGCAGCCGGTGTCGCCACGATCAATACCACACTGCAATCTCGCTGTGGAAATTGCCCGAAATATGACACCCCACAACAATGGGCGCGGACATGTCGTGCAGATACACTCGCACACGTCATAGACGTGACGCAAATTCGATCACCCGGACGCTATCTTAGATCAATAACATGATCCACACCCATGCTTAGTCATGGAGCTTCCTTCCGGGTAACTTTTGCATATAGAATAATGTAAAGGATGGGGATGGGGAATTTTCTCATGATCAATCCCTCGTTTTTGACACATAAGTGTGTTTTCTTACAGTTCAACATGTAAGGAATCAGGATCTGACTAAATCTGAAAACAACCGCAACAAGGAAACATCAGCCGAGTTACGAGGTATAAATCTCTTCTTAGAGTTGGTCCTAGAAGTTTATTTTGTTACAGAACTTTAGCCAAAAAGATATTTTCATTATAATTCATACTTACCTATCGACTATAGTCAATATCTACAGGCTCAAAATGCAAATTAATAATTAGCACAGGAAACACAACTAGTAGTAGTAGTAGTAGTAGTAATTAAGTACATTCCAATACCAATTCCAATTATACTTCTAAGTTCTAGCACTATACAAGAGACTGTAATTAAAGCTGTGGTGAACCTGTGAGATCAGTGAGCCTGATAATGTAGTGTAATACTAATAAATTGTTACAGCGATTTTTACACACTCGAACAGCTAGGTCAACGAAGTGAAGATCCTTATGGGTAGGCTACTGTCGACTACTGTATTACTATAGTATTACTACAAAAACCATGGTTGTAGTATCTTTTACTACGTGTGTAGCACTGTAATACTTTTTTGCCTTTAGCCTTAGGGCCTACTTAAGTACTTTACTCTTTAGTTTGCCCTAGCTACCGTTTTTTGCCTTGGAAGTTGGTACGCAGATAAATTAGTCATCTATCACAGACACTGCGACAGACAATTATGGCGAGCATTATCGCAGTGTATAGACTAAGTGACTATAGTGACACGGCAAAATAACTCACCTGGTTTTACGTAGACTTCAGACAGTGGATGATAAGGTTTATCACCTTCTCCCTTATTTCCGCTGCCGCTTTGTGCTTCAGTAGCCGTCATTTTTGACCGAGGCGGGAAAAGAGCGATTGCTCAACGGACTGAACAGTACTTTGTTATACAGGCTGCGGCCACAGAGACAGCACACCCGATTGTGCTCGCAATGCGTTAGTAGTGATAGCTTTGATGAATAATGATATGACACAATATCGAATTACTGGTAGTTTTTTCGAGTTCTACACCTATATCCCTTTACTGCATTGGAAATTGCAAATCCACGCAAGCATCGTTGAGGCGTTCACTGACACTGTGAGTAGCCACTGCAGCGTAACACTTTTGCGCTTACGTGTACACGTAAATTGGTCACGGGACCATGCGCGCATGCGCATGCGTCATGTCAACAATGAAAAGCCAAATATCACCATTGACCAAAGTAAGTGTGCAGCTGCAAGTCACTTCACTCCGTACTAGTCCTACATCAATGCCATTATGTACGTATGAAATTATAAATCAATAAACAAACATAGTATTTACTACCAAGGATTTTTTTTACTTACTTCCGCTTAACAATTCCGCGTAAATGCCAATTCCGCGTAAATCAAATGACAAATACTCGTCTCGTGCACAACCCATTCCATTGCATTGGATTGGATTGCGTACGGCTCTGACACTGTGATACAGACTTACAGTGTCCTAGAACAATTTTTTGTATATAATACGTTAATCTCACGCTACAACTGTGTTGTGAAGAAGTATTTGAACGGCATTTAAATAGAATTATTAGGCAGTAGGGTGTACATAAACATGAAGACTGTCACTATTGCTCAAGGGGTCGTTGTCGTAACAGGTACTACAGATATACATGTACCCGAGGTACATATATGTATACACAAAGTGTACCAGACTTGTACTACAGAAGTGTACCCTAGCCCTAACACTAACCCTAACCCTAATCCTAACTCTAACCCTAACCCTATAACCCTAAACATACCTCATATAAAAATATAAACATAATACTAAACAACCTAAAACTACCTTGGGTACATATCTGTAGTACCTGTTACGACAACGACCCTTCGTGCGTCACTATGATAGACGAAATACAATCTGTAGGCCTATTTATTCATTATCAATATCAATGACAATATTGACACGTACGCAAATTGCCATTGGTGCACGTGTAACCACAGACACATGACTTGGCACAGAGTCAGTAAAAACTGAAAATAATATGAACGCACATTCACAAATACTACCCCTCAATTACACTTCCACTGTTGTGTCACTGTATATAAACTTGCTTTCACAAAAACTAATGCAGATCGAACTAGCCGCTCCCGCACTCGCCGCTTCGAGTGTGCAGACACGTCAAGTCTCACGATGCGTGAGACTCACGCATTTTGGTCAATTCTCACGCTCTCACGCTCATCTCTGAATTTAATTCTCACGCAAAAATCAAAATAAATAAATAAATAATTAAAACCCTATTTTCAGTCCCAGATACCAGTAATACTAGTATCAGAAGTCTAAGGCCCGATCAACAGAGCCTAGCTAGCTCGCTCCGGCCGTATACGTATAATACGTATACGCTATCAGCGGCGCGGCGCGCATTTTATTTGCCTGCCTGGAATCCAGTATCCCGCCTGGATCAGTGGATGATGGCTTTGCAGGTTACTGAGGTATTTTGTTTACTTTTCAATTCTCAGCTTGCACATTTACTAGACTAGTTTCTAGTACTAGTTCTAAAGTTTATCTATAGGTTAGATCTAATGTAGATCTAGATGTAGATCTACAGTAGATATGAAAATGTTGCACTGGGACTCACTTGGGCACTTGACTTGAGTGTGATTTTTTTCTGTTGACGTTGAAGTGAATGAGTAAGAACTTATATTTATAAAGGCAATAAATCATACCATAGGTATGCACTAAATTGCACGATTTCAAACCTCAAATTTCAAAAAGCTCCATACCGTGGGAGGGGGGAAACCCACCTCCCACACCCTCCCTCCCCCCTGGTCGCTTCGCTCCCTCGGCCGGTGTCGCTCCGTCAAACGCTGAGTCTCACTCTCAACCATTTCTCAAACTTGACATCTCTGAGTGTGCTGTGTCGCCATTGTAGTGATATATATATATAGAAGTATATGGCTTCTATATGCCAAATTAGTGCTTAGTGCTAAGTCAGCCAATGCCAGCTGATCAGCATTTCGGATCCAAAATTATAACTAATAAAGGTCAAAATGCACTTACTTATATGCATGGCATGCCAGCTAGTGTCAGCACGCAGCTAGCTATATACAGCACTTGCTCTGAGATACATGGGTAGCTATGTATACACACACATGGAACCATATATATCACCAATTAACACAGCAATGTTTCGTTCACGCGAAACACTGACCGTGATAACTGGGAAGCATAGATATATATATATACGAGTTTACAGCTTACCGTACGGAATCGACCTCTGTGGCGCATAGCTGCTTTCTTTTTTCCAACATGCCATTTTGCTACGAACGTGGATGCTTACTATTTTCTTATGAAGAAATATGCGTACAAATATGACTAATGATAGTTATAACTCCCAGCATGCACATCCACTCCACAGCCGCTGGGAAGATCAGTCTGATCGCGTGTATACTTGCACACAAGCGTACAAAATACGTGCATGACAAAGCGTCGTGAAACGGGCGGCAGAAGTATGATGTTTCCGTTGGGCTTACGCCGCAGCAATTGTAACTTGTTAAACTATTCACCGTCTATATATACTACGTGCCTTCAGCAGCGTCTAGCGTGTGCCGGTGTTGGTGCTGGCAGACTGGCTGAGCTTCTGTAAGGGTATCATGAACTAAAATACCCCACAAAACCTGGTACAGGCCAGCAGCAGATGTCTTATAGAATTCCCAAAGGGCATGTCTGCCCCCTCTAGCAGTGTCACTGTCAGTGTTATTTCAGCAGGATATATGTGATATTGGCGCCATACAGTAAACTGCTCCAAGCAGCTTCTCTCACTTTCTATATACATGGATATCTATATATATATCTATATATGTGTGTGTGCGTACATGCGTGTGCGCATCTGTCAGGAGTGCGTCTATTAACACTGTGTTATTTCAGGATTTCACTCTAGCTTCTCTTTCAGTTCTGTGCTTGCGTGAGGCGGAAGACTAGTGCGGGGGCAGAGAACGGCAGCTGAGCTGTTGGAGGTTGCTAATACCATAAAGCTTATCGACACTGGAGGATATTGTAACATTCACTCACCTTATTGCAGATGGCAAGGTGGGTTGTAAACCATTCAACATTAAATATTCAAAATCAAACATCTATTCACTCCTACAACTGCTGATACAGCCCTTGGAACAATCGGGAGTGCCTGAAAACAATTTGTAGTTATTCACTCCTGATAGAAATAAAGTCGTGATATTGATATCAGTGTTGTGACATTTGCTGGATATATTTTTTCATTAATTATCTACAACCTATTGACAGTTAAGCAAGAAGTTCCAGTAAAATGTTCACATTTCACCTTGCATATATATAATCAATTAAAGTCCATGAATCTTTCTTGCTAGTGGGAATTGGGAGGTTCCTGTATTTTTATTACCCATCAGAATATAACCCCCAAAATTCGACCTAGTGGATATACGTACGAAGGCAAATAATAACACATATCGTAGACTGCTCTCATCAGATTTTTATTGAAAAAACTACTTGTAGAATTGGCCAGGCACAAAGTACAAGTACAGAGTGACAAAGTACAGAGTACAGAGTACAGAGTACAGAGTACAAGTACAAAGTACAAGTACAAAGTACAAGTACAAAGTGACAGAACACGTTATGTATAGGCATGTGGACACATGATATAAATTACTAAATTAAGTTATGGTTTGTTTTTATCTTTCTGGATCTACATTGAAGTATTTTCCTTATCGACATATCGACCCTGGGCACCTGTGTTGTTTAGTTTTTTTCTCAGACAGGTTACACTCAGCAAAGCTATTTCATTTACTCATTGAGATTGGTGTATCCCATCGCTTTAATCCCATTCCAACAGCAGGTGTTGAATAAAGCAAATATAAACACAAAACTTAAGCTTGTACACACAGGTAGCAGACACAGGGTCCTCTGACCTCTCTCTGCTGGGAGACATATTTGTATCTAAAGCAAATAGTGATTAACTATCTTGCTCGATGAACCCCAGACCCACCTATCTTGGGTGAGTGGTCTATAATCCCACGGGTCGTTGATCCATGGTTAATAATAACAGTAAGAGCTAGTAAGAGGGGCGCAGACAGAGCAGAGTGATCGATACAATGAGGTATTGGAGAGAGAATAAACCAAAGTCCTAAAAGTCGTTTAGTCTAAATCTAAAAGTCCTAACAGTCTCACCTGCTGGCTGTGCCACACAAACTCGAGTTCTCCTTCTTAGCAAGGTCCCTAAATGGCGCTGCACTCTCAGCTAGTCGGGGTGCGAACTTTGACAGGTAGCAAATCGTGTCTATAGTACGGTCAGTAGTTCAGCGTCAGGCAGATCCATCTTCTCAATAGCTACTGGCCGTAGACCGGTATGACCAATGACCTGTAGGACCACTGACCCGCCGGACTATAAACCTGAACCCTTATCTTGTGCAATGCTGTGTATACTACAGCTCATGGGGGTCTATGTCCCCCAGGGTACTGCCGGAACGTACCTTGGGTACGTTCCGGTATACCCTGGTAACTATCTGATATGGTTAGGGTTAGGGAGTAGGCGTAGGCGTAGGTGACATATATGTACCTGAGGTAACTATCTGATATGGTTAGGGTTAGGGAGTAGGCGTAGGCGACTCGATCCCTAGACTCGTTAGTGGAGTAGGCGAGGTACGGTCCGACATATTAGATAGTACCAGGGTACGTTCGCGGTTACGGGGCCGTACCCAGGGTACGTTCCGGCAGTACCCTGGGGGACATAGACCCTCTCAGCTATACTACATAATCATTGCGACATACATAACTCACAAGGCAGTTCAACCACCAGGGACGTGTACAGGATTTGTAGCAGGGGGGGGGGTCTAACCGTAACCCAAACTTGCGAGCACGCGAAGGGGGGTCTGATATGTTGTAGAATTTTCTGGCCCTCCCCAAGAAATTTTTGAAATTAGACCCCTCAGATGCGTTCTGCGCGAGCAGGGGGGTGTCCGGACCCCCCCCCTGTACACGCCCCTGACCACAGACTAACAAATACCCACACTGGACACTTCCTATACCCTGCTTGCTAAGTGGATTGATGGTGTTGCCCCTGGCAAATACAGAAGTCAATTAAAATTGGCATCAGCAAGAAATTATTGTAGTTACTGCAGTGCAGTGAAGAATTATTCTGATGTAAGAAAGAAAATCTAGAATTGTCAATTTTTAGGTTTCTCACAGATCATCATCTAGGCACCTCCATGCATATAATATATTTATTTATTTATATATTCGACTCGTAGCTTCTTAGTATCACATGTAATTATTGAAACCTGAGTTGAAAATGTGGAAATTATATCTGCTTTATTATTTTTATTGTTTGTAGAAAAAGAAATCTATCTGACTAAATGAAGTAATGATGATAATTTTGTATGTAAAATTCATTCTATATGGTCGTTAAACGTACTCGTTACACAAGTACATTAATTTTCCTTTTCAATCATTACGTATCTACTATCACACTTCATTCTGAGTATTAGCAGCAAACAGCAAACTGAGTAAACAGCAGAGATTTGTTATACAATTCTGTTGTTATACAACTAAATTATACAATCTGTTGTTATACAATTGTTATACAATTATTTAATTTTTGCAATACATTATCTTAGTTTGCCACTGGGTGGCGCCACCATGCATGCAATGCACTATTTTTGCGTACCGTCCAGTCTGTGCAGCCATCCACGTGTTGGACTTGGAGCATAGATGAAGATATATAGAAGATCAAGAAGCAAGAATGAAGATATTTTATTATTCCCTATTATCTACTTCTGATATTATATATGTCTGAGTAATCGTGCAGCGGCGTGCGTGTGGCGTGACTGTAGGCTGAATTGATCCAAGCTCGTGTGATGTAGGCTATTTAGCGTAGGCTATTTAGCGTGTACGACGAGTTTTTTGAATGGTTTCAGATTTGACAGTTGTTGAAAGTTTAATTATTACACGTTAATTACAAGTATAAATTAGTTCAAACTAACATGTTTAAAAAAATTCTAATTTCACACAGCTTCAGAAGCGTGATGCATGAACAATAAACTATACAGACAGACAGCTGAGAAGAGATTAGATAAATGCACAGCCATTAGACGCAAAAACGTAAACGCCAGAATCCACGGGGACCACAAAAAAGAACGCCATGAAACTTCCAGAGTCATTGATGCTACATTTTCACGCACCTTGTGATGTTTAAAAGATCTCAACTTCTGTTAGTGTACTCCCACTGCCACTGGTCTCTTCGCATGTGAGTTTCTGTTCAGGGTGAAACAGCTGAGATTCGCACTCATGCGATACAGAAATCTTCACAATCATAACTTGTTTACACCATAGAAATCGCAACACTAACCGATTAGTGTTGCGATTTCTATGGTTTACACAAACATGTTTACCTACTCGCTTATGCTCGTCAACAAATGACCTCGCAGCGCCACCTCGTGGCTGAATGTTAACTTTTATAACGGTATTTGACTCTAGCTCGTTCTGTTTTTTGAACGGGCATTCATTGCTTCATCCCACTTTTTTAAGGTACGATTGCAGAAACGACTGTCAAAAACTCACTACTGATTTACCAAACAGAGTTATACAATCCATCTGCAAGCTATCGCTCTCGCAATTCCGACTCGTGTCTAGCTACTAACAAGGAGGTGAATATAGACTTACTAAAAACGCATATTAATGGACATGAAACTGTTTATATTTATGGTATCGTTGCAGAAACAAATTCTTAATACTTACAAGATTCAAACAGGTAGATTTACGCAGTTATTCCTAATTATAAAGTTATAAAACTATTGTAAAATTAAATGTAAAAATAATACGCATTTACTCGTTAGACGTAAATTAAATTATGCAGACATTATTGATATACATTCTGATATTTTACGTGATATTATTGGTTGCAAATATAACGTTTGCACCAAATTAATACCAACCACCTGTTATTTATTTTGGTAATCGATTACCAAAATAAATGATTAGCATAAAAAGAAAAAAGAGGGGAGAGACTTGATGTATATAATTATCCATGAGGTATATCAGATGAACATTGAGCATTTCTCTTCAAGGTCGCTGCAGCAAAACATTAAGGTATAATTACATCACTGTCATTTACATACATGATGATAAAATAATGATAACACCTCTTATTGTGATAATCTCATTAGAGGACCAAACCGCCGTCGCTGCACATCCGGTTTTATGCGACATGTCACACACTTTATAAGCTAACAGTGAAATTTGTAAGCTAAACATTTCTAAACATTTCTAACTAATTTTTCTGTCATCCTCTTGCCTATTGACGCCACCTACTGGCGAGATTTTGATGAGCCCGCCAATGTGTGTCTATTATAAGTCGGTAAAATGTATTAAAACAGCATTGTAATAATTCAAATGTTGTTAATTGTATGTTCGAATGTATTAATTGTTACTTTGATCAGTGAATGATTACGAAGTTTTCCGGACCTATATAATATGTGCTATATAACTTCCATCACTGTAACATATACTATTGGCATCGAACCACTGAAACATTGATACGTGTTTCTGACGCTATACGCATTGCTGTAATGTGATTTCGTGTTGGGACTGTCACTCGTGCCCTCTTCACTCATTTATTTAAACAAGCGTAGCAGAGTAGACATCCACTAGCAATTAAAAAAAATTAAGCTGTCCCTTGCTTTTTTCTACGTTAGTATTAGTTTAACTGCAGGGGGAGCTCAAGCAAGGGTGGTGCTACGCGGCCTGGGCGTACGTACTTACCGTCATGAAACGTGCTTATTTGTCACATCTATCATCAACCCGATGCAGATTGTCACCGCCCACCTTCCGCGATGCCCGCTCAGCCAATCGCATCGCCGCGTCGGCCATGTTTGTAACGGATAGCCAATGAACTTAACACCTGCGCCTGTCACTTTGCGCGATCTGTCTCGCCCCTGCTTTTAAAGCGTAATTACGGTCAGCCGCCAAGCAGCAGCCAGAAATATGAAGACGCACGGATTGGTTATACAAGCTGCAGCGAGTTCTCGCAATTAGGACGGGCTGTGCGGCGGTGGAGCTAAGCCGCTACCTTCTCCGCCGAGCGCCGCTGCTCTAACAACGTGATCAGACATCGCGCGGTCCTCCGATTGGACTCGCACGGACGTGTTAGAAGAACGAGGGAGTCGCTCGTGAGAGATACTTGTGTCACCCAAGAAGGTCCTACTGAGGGTATCGAGTGGAAGTCG